AAAAATACATTGTATGTGTCAAAATTATTGATTTTTCTTTTATGCCAAAAATCATTAGGATATTAAGTAAAGATCATGTTCCATGAAGATATTTTATAAATTTCCTACTGTAAATATATTAAAACTTAATTTTTGATTAGTAATATGCATTGCTAAGAACTTCATTTGGACAACTTTAAAGGCGATTTTCTCAATATTTTTTCTCAATATTGTCCTCTCCTAACAAACCATACATCAATGGAAAGCTTATTTATTCAGCTTCAATTAAAAAAAAGACCCTTATGACTGGTTTTGTGGTCCAGGATCACATATTATTAAAAACTTTATATTGTACTTTAATTTTACTGTTGATTATTAAAGAAACTTAATTACTTAATTGATTATTAAACCTCTTTTTCGTCTAAATGAAAACTTTTAATCATTTCAGTGCATCACAAATAAGTATAATTTATTAAATAAGAATAATTTATTCTCTCATCCATGCAAAAATATTGAATAGCTCACATGATCAATGTTTCCATCTTTCTTTTTCCAGATCACACGCTCTCAGTATCAAAACGGTCTGATAGCGTCTCGGCTGGACAGCTCGCCACAGTCTCCAGACAGCGGACACGGCCGTGTAGATAACAGCATATCATCCGCTCCCCATCCGTCTTCAGAAAACATCATCTCGCTTGCAGACGCCACCGATGAGACGACCTCGCTCCTCAACGAACAGAACAGCCAGCCTGCGCGCCAAGCCAACCACAGCACACATAACGACAGTGCCATTTGACACACTCACACACGATTTACCCATATCCCACACTCCCATTGGACATTAAGCACTTTTCCCAGAACTTTTAATCAGACCCCTTTTAGCATCAACTATTACAGCTCCCAGTATAAAAGTGTGGGTGTATGAAAAGCTACAGTTTCCTGAGACATCCAATGAAAACATTGTGTAACACATTGTGCAAGACGAAGACACAGAGAAGCCAAAGTGTATCTGGACTGAGAAAGGCCCCTGTTTCAGACAGACACACTGGGGCGTTTTATAGACTGCGTGAATAGAGACATTTATATATACAAAGATGTTTTTGTCATTTTTCTATTGAGGTTGATCACAGACATGTGAAGGAGGGAAACTGTGGATGCCTTTTTATTTTGTGTTAGTCCATAGCTAATTCATAATTGTACCAAATTTTATTTGTGTGTGTGTGTGTGTGTGAGTGAAGATTGGTATGTAAGTCGCTTTGGATAAAAGCGTCTGCTAAATGTAAATGTAATATAGAAACCTGTATGGTGAGGGCCAAAAATTTACAATGCTACATCCCCCCTAATTTATTAAAATAATAATACATTTTAATTATAGTCATAATGTCTATTTCATTCTGTTATATTATAATCTTCATTGAAATTTACATTTAAATATTTTGTAAAACCGTTAACATGGTTAATGTCATAGATTGCCAATACATGTCTACATGTTCTTTTCTAACTTTATCCTATTATTATTATTATTATGTAATAATATAACGACCTCAAATACATAAAGCCATATGAAAGCGAAAGTACCGAAATTACGTTTATAACGAATCATCAAATCATATGAAGCATCAAAACTGACCAACCAATAGTTGGGCTTTAAATGTTTGAACCAACCAATGGGAATTGAGATGGGCGTATCCCTGCAAAATTCAAGCGACAGTTGTGTGGAGAATGTAGATGTTGCATTAGCAGGCAGCAGTATGTTGTAATAGACTCGTGTACGAAGTTATAAATAGATGCTATATTTATCTTAATTAAATATTTGATGTGGATGATCGGATAAAGCGGTGGAAACAGTGACGGACGAAGACGTATCTAAACTATCTAAGATAGGTAAAGCGCTCCCTTATAAGCTTAACGTTACACCAGGCTAACGTTAGTCCTATGTATCATGTACGCTGTTAACGTTAGATACTTGCTGTTCCTATTGATTCACGTGTGTTTATTTTTAGACAATCGATTACAGTAAGTTGTGTTACGATTTTATTTTGGAAAATCATCTAACGATTTGAAAATCAGTTGTTCAAAACACTGCAATGTGTAACGTTATGTATCTATAACATTTATTAAATGCATGCAATGTTGGATTTTTAAATGTTTTTTCTCTTTTATTTACAGAGCTACGCAAACTGAAATTGGCAGAATACCTAGCAGCAAAAGGAAGACTGAAAGCACCTAATCCAAAGTAGGTGGTCTTGAAGGGTCTTTCTGTCTGTAACATTTGTTCAATTTATACTTTTACCATAAAACAAATATATATATTTTCAGTATTACTACCATAGTGTGTTTATGTTCTGAAACAACTGTTGTTGTTTTTTTACTCAAGACCATATCTCAAGGAGAAGCCTGTTACAAAGAAATATGCTGAAAATAATCAGAAGTCCAAAATTGTAAGTTAAATAAATTTCTTGAAATTTTGTACTATTCAATGTGTTGAAAGTGTACAAGGTTGAAATTATGTCTCTTTTTTTCTCTCTCTCTCTCAGACAGGTGATGGAAAGGAGAATTGTGGCATCAATGGGAAAAATATTAAAGAAGTAAAGAGAGTGAAGACATTGGCAGAGGTTGATAAAAACACATCCTCAAAAAAAGAACTTGGCATCAATTCACTAGCCAAAGCCCAAACACAATCTTCCAGTAAATTGCAGAATATTTGCCGGGAAGGCCTTCATGTTTTGAGGACACAGAGCAATAGAACAGCCTCTCATCAAAATCCAAGGAAACCCCACAAAGATGAGAAAACATCCAGGTCATTCAGTGCCGCTAAGAGGACTAATTCACAAAGCCTTCAGAATGCCCAACCCAAAGCCCATCAAGCTCCGCCAGCTTCCCATGCTGTAAATAAAACACAAATGTCAAGAAACCACTACTGTGGCCCTTCACAGTCTGGATGTGGCATCTCAGCCCAAAGCCACACAGATCAGAGCCGTGCTAAGACAGATATTCAGTCAATGAGGCCTTTGGCTAAGAAATTAACAGAAACAAGCATCAAAACAACCTCAGTTGCCAATTTGAAGAGTCGAAGACCAATGAACACAACTGAGACAAAAATGCAGACAAACAGTGTTTCTAAAACCCAGGTAAAACCTGCACAGCAACCCAGAAGTCAAAGTGCTGTACCAAAGCTTGGGACGCGCAACTGCAGTTCTCAGAGCAATAAGCCCATAAACCAGAAATCAATTTCAGTGACAAACAGGTCAGATGTGAACCAGAGAGAAGATATTCCATGCATTGTTTCGAAAGTTGATGCCATAAAAATTAAATCAAATAGCTCAGTCACAAACAGAGTTACAAGAACAAGTGCCTCTTCAACTAAACCTGCAAATAGAGAAGGATCAGTGATCATCAAAAATAAACAGTCTGCTGCTGCTGTTAAACAAACTAATCTCACTGCTTCTACCAAACTGCTCGGTCGAAGCACCAAGAGTTGTGTACTGCCGCAGACGACAACTGCATCCCGAGAGCTTCATCAGCCCACTAAGGGGTCCGGCCAGGCCAAGCCTGCGGTGCAATTGCAGACTCCTAAATCCAGATTCTGTCCCAATACTCAAGGTGTCCGAACAGCCCCGATAGATGGAATGAAGAAGCCGACTGCAGCTCAGGAGGAGAGACTGTGAGTAGACGACTGTCTGAAGCAGGGTTTCTCAACTCTGGTCCTCAGACTCCAACCCTGATCAGTCTCACCTGTATGCAGCTTTCTAGTATTCCTGAAGACCTTGATTAGCTTGTTTGCGTTGGAGGTAACCATAAGGGACAGTGAACCTCAAGAGCCTTGAGAAACCCTGGTGGAAAGATTTGATGCTTTTGGAAACTACATGTTTTTTAGTGCTTTAAAGCTGTGGTTCTCAGCTGGTAAGATCTGGTTTCAAGATACAGATCTTACACCAAACAACAGTTAATTATTTTTGGGTGGCAATTAAGATTGAATTATTTTGTTCATATTAACTTGTTTTAATTTAAACGATTAATTTGTAATATTGTTTATAATGTATAAAATGTATTAACTTAAAATGTTAAGAAATGTACTAGTAGAAATTAAAGGAATAGTTCATCCAAAAATTTGCTGAAAATTTACTCACCCTCAGGCTATTCAAGGTGTAGATGAGTTTGTTCATCAGAACAGATTTGGAGAAAGTTAGCATTACATCTCTTGCTCACCAGTGGATCCTCTGCAGACAGTGAATGGGTGCCATCAGAATGAGAGTCCAAACAGTTGATAAAAACATCATAATAATCCACAAGTAAATTTAACTGAACAGAATTTTCATTTTTGGGTGAACTATCCCTTTAGGGAAATAAGTATAGTATGGGTCGAACGGTAACAGAAGTGATGTGTGTGCAGGCGTAAGCTCCAGGAGTGGCGGGAGTCAAGGAGCATCACATATAAACGTCCCCCCATGCCTGTCCGGCTGGTGAGGAGGAAGACCATCTCCGCTGTTCCTCAGCCATACTGGACTTCTATGGAGAATGAAGATGAGGTTCATGACATTGTCTTTGCTGTGGACCGATCACTAGATGACTGCATTAAATTATTACAGCAGGTATTATTATTATTTGAGGTATTATTATTTTATTTCTATTTTTTTAAATGTGTAATTAATTAAATTATGTTTTATTAACAAGGTTCGGGAGGAGCACGATCAGCATTATATGTTAGTGCGAACTCGTGAAATGAATGTGCGTAAAAAAGGGTAATGCAACAAAACAAGTTCTTCCATGGAAATCTGAGTTTCTGTTCGTGCCAGTCAGCAGATTGGAATCAGACTGGTAAATAATCACGCTCCACATAGCTGATACAAATTGAATATATTCTGACCGTGTCTCACCGTTTTCCTTTTTTTTTCTTTTGGACATGCAAATTATTAGTCATTTCCTTGGTCAAGACATTGTGTAAGCTACTGAAACACCATGAAACAGTTTTGTTGAGTTTGTGGTCATAGGTGTATGTGGTTTTGATTTAGACCTGGGTAGGGGGCAATTGAAGACAGATGTTGGTTAATACTTGAAAAAAATAAAAGTGCATAGAAAATGATAATTTTTTCCCTTTAAAAGTAAAATTTTTTAAAAATGCAATAATAGTTTGTACTTTTTGTAATAGTGAGTATTACAAAAAAAGGCTAAAAGTTATTAATATTAATAAAAAAACAAGATGATAACCTAAGATTTAATAACCTTAAATTCAAACCTCACTATAACCCTATTTACTTTTTAAAAACAAATTTGTTCATACTGTCCCTCTTTCTTTCATTGATAGATTGATTAGAGAATTAAGACATCCTGATCACAGAATGTTAAAGTTTTTTTTTATTTTTTTTATTCAAGTTTTTATTGCTTTTTGGAAGGTGAATGGGTAACAAGAGTAGTACAACATCTCAATGATAATAATAATAATACAAGGTTACAGATTTCTACATGCACAGTTGGAACATTAGAGAAAGTACAAGACAAGACATATCACTAAGGCCCAATCCCAATTCTATTTTATACCCCTTCCCCTTCCCCTACCCCTTCGCCTACCCCTTGTCCCTTGAAACAAGTGTGTCAAGGGGTAGGGGTGAAAATATTCCCCTAAGAATTGGGACACCACTACTATACGTCACACGTCATCATACGTCGTCTAGCTCCTACAATACGCACACCTATACTGGTGTGCTGGTGTGCATTAGAGCCTTTAATTACCGTTCTATATTAATGCGCTGCTTACTGACACACACAGCAATATTTGAGAAAAGGGTTTAGCGATTTCTAATTATTGGGGGGACTAGCCCCCCTCAATGTCTACGGTGGTTATCGCCCTGATCAGACTTGAAAATATGTTGTGGCACTATCGTGCAGTCTATAATGATATGACGTTAGTTAGCAAATATTAGCGATTTTTTGCAAACATTCCTTTGAGTAACATGACCGTAAATATGAACTCACGATTGAATGTTACATAAAACAAATGATTACTTTTCGTTAAAATCTTTATTAATGCCAAAAAAGCTTACATTTATGTGTCTTTTTGTTCGCTCGGGCAGCCATGTTGCCCCTGAAGCCGGTTTACGCTGAGATAATTCATTCCCCTTCGTTTGAAGTGTGGTCCCGAAAAATCTTTGTTTGAAGGGCTGTCTGGCCCTTCCCCTACCCCTACCCCTCCAACCAAAAGAGAATTGAGACACCCCTACCCCTTCACGTGAACTTGCGAAACGGAGGGGTAGGGGAAAGGCGAAGGGCTAAGGGGTAGAATTGGGATTGGGCCTAAGTGTTTATCTAGAATGTTGAAGTATTGCCAATTTATAACCCTTAAAAGTCATGAGTAATCATTGTCAAGACTAGATCCTAAACTTTCAGTTCCGAGCATGTATACAATGTCTACTTTACCATGGAAAAAATCACTTCCCAACATTTTTAGGCAAGGTGTAATTCTTTCAGACAAGGCATTCTCAAGCCAACATTTGTGTGAATTGTTTCCTTATCTCTTATCGCAATGTTGCCTTATCCAGTTTTTGTTGAGCAGATCTCAGATAGACCGTAATGTTTACCATTCTTTTCCACCAGTCTCACAACTCTGAGTTTATGATAGAATGTGGGTATCCAAATGGTTTTGTCCCCATTGACTTCCATAGTATTGAAAAAAATATTTTTTGTTCAACAGCTGAAAAAAGTTGATAAAAGTTTGGAACAAGTTGAGGGTGAATAAATGATGACAATTTTCATTTTTGGGTGAACTATCCCTTTAAACTTTTCTTGAGCTATAAAGCACATGTTGCACTTTACTCCTGTATTTATGATACAGTGTTCTGGGCAGCCTGGTATTTTGCAGAACATTTTTAATGAATACGAATATGAGTCAGTTTTAGGGCTCCAGGCTGTGACCAAATAGTTGCATTTTGCGACCATTTTTCCTGCTGGTGCGAATTTTTTTTTTAGAAATTGAACTGGTGCGATTGCAAAATTTTAATATAATTGTATTTTAAATTAATGCACAGGCGATTTCGTTAACGGCGCATCCAGTCAGTCTCTGTTTTTATGAGAAACATCAAATGGCAAACTAAACTGCGCTACTCGTTTGAACTGCACAGCGCTTAGAGTGTAGCGCCTGGTTTATACTCGCCACGTCAGCACGAGCGCGAAGGTGCGCGGCGCGCAGCAAAAATTATGCGAATATTGAGAAAACGATAGAAGGTTTTCAAGCTAGAGTAAAGTAAAAGACCGCTTCTTAAACCAGAGAAGGTGAACATGTTGGTATTCTTGTGGGGAAAAAACATGCAACCACTGTCACCGACAGCAAGTTTAGTTTTACTTTTCTTTTTGAAAAGCTTGCTATCTTTGCTGTTTACCTCACGTTACGCTATGGAGGCTCTCTTTTATTTTATTTATTTGATTTGATTTGATTCCTCAGTGTTTGCTAAATGTTCTGTAATTTATTAAGTGACGTGACATGTGGCCAAGTATGGTGACCCATACTTGGTTCGAACCCGTAACCTTTGGGTTACGAGTCCGAATCTCTAACCATTAGGCCAAGACTTCTATTATATTATATTATATAGTCTATTATATAGTCTGTATATAATACAACATGTGGTGTATGCCATGCCTAATCTTATTAGTTTTTGTTAATAATCGTTTTGTAAGCTAGTTTGTCATTGTATCTTACCGTTTTATTGTTGTTGTGCTTTTTAATTAAGAATAACAATGAATCCATCTTTTGTTTTAGTCTTAAAAAGTGAGGTGTATAGATCTTTTCTTGTAAAACGCGACAACAATATTGCGAATTCAAAAGTGAAAGCACCCGAAGCCCGGCTTATAACACCGCAAAAGAGGAACTCCCTTTCACAAAATTCAAATCACAAATAATACTGCTGATGAAAAAGAACGGGTTGAATGTTAATCACTTTCGTTTCCATATAACTATAAACTATGATAAAAGTTCATCAGCATGCATTGATTAATCCCATGATGTAGCGCAAAATAAATTTAAAAAAAATATTGCGACCATCTGAGAAAGTTAGTCACAAAAAAACGACCAGTGGGAAGAATGAGTCTGGAACCCTGATCAGCTTAGATGATGCTTTCTTCTGGGTGCTAACAAGCATAAGTCAAGTCAAGTCACCTTTATTTGTATAGCGCTTTATACAAATACTGATTGTTTCAAAGCAGCTTTACAGTGTCAAACAGGAAAATAGTTTGTCAATACTGCAAGAAGAAAATAACATTTTTCCAGCTAAAGTCAGTTCATTGATGATTCAGTGATGTCATCATCCAGTTCAGCTCTCTTCCAATAGTGTCTGTGCAGTCAGTCAGGCGTCCCCAACTAAGCAAGCCAAAGGCGACAGTGACAAGGAACCAAAAATCCATCGGTGACAGAAATGGAGAAAAAACCTTGGGAGAAACCAGGCTCAGTCGGGGGGCCAGTTCTCCTCTGGCCAGATGAAACTAGCATGGCGTGGTTTAATTCCAGGCTGCAACAAAGGTCAGATTGTGCAGAGGACTTGTCTGGCTCTCGTGGTCTTGTGCCGATGGTCGTGGTGACGATGTCTTCACAGAGGATCTGTCTATGGGGCGCATCTAGTTGACATGGTCTCCGCTGACATTCAGGGCTGTAGAGGTCGTCTCTAGGTGCTGATCCACACATATTGACAACTGATCCAATGCTGTTTGTGTTTTTATGTGACAGGGTTTCCCGGTGGAACAGGTCAGAGATGTGCTGTCTCGGGTGCCGATGGCACAGAAGTTTGCTAAATACTGGATTTGTCAGGCCAGACTAATGGAAAGAGAAGGAAACCTGGAGGTGCTGCCAATGTTTCAGGAGGCCATTCGTGTAGTGAGAGAGGTCAGTCTCTCTTTATCTCTCAGACATACATACTTTTTAAATTGTTTTTACTATTATTATTGTTGTTGTTGTTTTTACTATTATTATTAAATAGTTTTTCATGGAATGTAAGCAATTTCCAATTCTACTTTGGCAAGATCTTACAATTACAGGAAATTACAGACTCTGGTGCATGTGTAAAAAGAAATCCAAATGTCACACAGCTTATGAGTAACCAATGTTTCCTAACAGCCGGTGGATGAACTACGATCCGTGGTTTTTGAGATCCTTAAAAAGAGACAAGTTCAAGGTAAAGTGGGGGGGGGCGGGGATATCCAGGCTTTAAAAAAAAATGTTGTACATTGCTGGTCAAAAGTTGGATGGAGTAATTCATATTTTTTATGGTTTTGAAAGACGTCTCTTATGCTCACCAAGGCTGCATTTATTTGATCAAAATAGTGTGTACTAAAATATTGCTACAATTAAAAAAAAAAAAAAAAAATGTATACGTGTCCAAATTAGGCATGGGCCGGTATGAGATTTTGACGGTATGATAACCTTAAGCAAAAATCGCTCGCACCAACAGGAGGAGGGCGCGTGTTACTCTACACTGCACTCAACCCGACGGATTCCTACACTTTCAGTCTTGGAGGAGACATGAAAAACAGCGCATACCTTGAAACGGTATACCGGGAAATATTAGAGGTTTTGAAACCGTGAAATTTTCAAATCGCGGTATACCTTGAAACCGGTAATCGGCCCATGCCTAGTCCAAATACTTTATACAAAAAGCGAGGTAAATACAGATGGTTTTCTGAGTCTGAAAGAACTTGGCAGTCCTGCAAAAAGCCCAAATCTAAATCCCACTGAATATTTTGAGCAACAATTGCAACATCAGCATAATGTAGGACTATGCTGGAAATGTCAGATTAATGATAAATAATATTTAGAATGATTTTTTTTTTTTTTTACAGTACCAGTGACACTTTTGATACAATTTCTCATTCTTTATTATTACTGTTTTCCACATTTAAAATAACTGTCATCAACACAAACAAAATCATGGGAATTATGTAGTAGCCAAATACCATGAAAACGCTCTGAAATGTCAACCTTTAATACCCACAATTTAATGCTTACACTAAGAAATTTAAACAAAGTCACTGCCTACACTTGTCTACAAAACTAACATTTAAGGCAAGACCCCTTTACCCAACATGCTCTGCTTCCAGTCAGTAAATCATTTCATAATGGACTTTGCTTTTATGCGCATGGGTGCTTTTTTTGTACAGGAAATGACCCTCCCCAAGCTGTCTAAAATGTCATGAAGATTTGTTTATTGGACACAGAACTAAAATTATTTCTCTCATAGTCTTTCTTCACAAGTCGTAAGCAATAAGTCTGTTGTAAGTAGCTTTGGATAAAAGCTGAATGCATAAATGTAAAAGAATAATAAAAACAAATCTTGCAATGTTTTTTTTTTTTAATCATTCAGGTTTGTCTCCGATGCCAAAAGAGTCTGAAGCGGTAGAGACTAGTGTGCATGACGAACAGGAAGGCAGTTACATCATGTGCACCCCAAAACCTGTTGGTGTCCTAATATGTGGAAGGAGCGGAGACTCGTCTGTTGTCAAATATAAAATTACAGCAACCCCAGGGTATGACACTTGCACACACTTACACAATCCAACTTGAAATTCAATATGCTCTGAGGCACAAATGTTCTTTGGAATAAGTAGTGTAATGTAGAACTTTTACAGATGGAAAATCCATATGTGTGCGTGTGCTTATATTAGGGCTGTCAATAGATTAAAAATGTTAATCTAATTAATCACACCCTTTTTCTGTGATTAATCGCACACTTCATGAAATTAAGCATAGACCATTTATCTTGTTTCATATGTTTATTTTGTTATCATTTGCTATATCCAGCAAAGTAAACCAAAAGATTGAAGGGTGATTCTCAAAAATCTGTATTTTCTGCAAGCTTTTTTCAAGATAAATTTAGATGTCTTTCCAAAAAAAGGACACTTAGAAACTCCAAAAGGACACCAAAGAACCAAATGATATAAAGAGCCCATATAAGCACACATGAAAGAAAAAAATGCTAAAACAAAATCAGAATTGTATAGTATGTGTCCAGTGCAACAGCAAAGAGCTTTTTTACATTTTGGAGAAGTCAAGTTGAGATTCCGAACAGGACCACATGGAGATGCCAAAAAACCTTAAACCAACCGCCTGCTGACCGCATATATCTACTACAGTACACGGATCCATTCAGAATAACTAAACACAGCAACATACACATGACAAATCAAAACATTATCGTGAATGTGTGTGGAAACCAAGGTTATTATAGTTTCGAATTTTTAAATTCTTTTTATTTTAATATAGTTTTCAAATTTGCTATAAAATTCAGTTTAGTTTTTATTAGTTTCATTCATATTTTTGTTAGTTTTAGTTTAGTTTTTATTTTGTGAACACATTTTTATTTAGTTTTTATATAGTTTAGTTTCAGTTTTAATTAAAGTTTAGTGGAATTAACAGATCACTTCCAGAGCGCAGGCCAAAGAAAGACGTAGGGCAAGCCTTTTTTACTAAATTAACACACACAAGTCGTGCTTAATGTCATATCCAATGATGTGTGTTGAGATATTTAGTATGAAAATAAATGTAGCCTGATTTGGTAAGTCTCTTCTTATTTAAAGGGGTCATATTATGCTTTTTTAAAGACCATTATTTTGTGTATTTGGTGTAACAGAATACGCGAAACACACGGGAATGACTAATTCACTGAAAATGCAGTGTCTGTTCTCTCTGCAATCTCTGATGTAATCAGCCTGGTTTCCTTTATATTAGCGCTGTTTTGGACGGATTGTTTGAATGCATTTGCTTACTGGATCATTGGACTGAAAACTTTCCTGGAGTTTAGCGGCTTAAAATGATCTAATCGCAAGCATAGTAGCAAAATTAAAGGGTTAGAATAGAAATTGTGCTACAGTAATTTTGCGTTAAATTATTTTAACACGTTAAGGATTGTAAAATTAATCTTCAGTAATTTATATATATATATATATATATATATACATACATACATATTCTCACACACTCTTTATAGTCCAGTGCCTCTTGGTTGCGAAAACCATGATATTTAAGCTTTTAATACCTACAATTCTCTGCTCACTCTAAGAAATTTACACA